GAAGACTGCTTCAATCGATTTTCCAACAGTGATAACACCAGCATCCCTTATCATTTGCAACCACGAAAACCTGCGACTTAATTGCTTTTTAAGAAGTATCTAATAAGTCCTAGAAAGCTTCGAACCGAAGTATCGTTGCAAAGATATGCCAGCTCATTGAAAGAAGGCCCAAGTTTACTTTCCTTAAAAATTGCAATCCATTTGGTAATCGATACGGGAAAGCGGTTGGTAGCATATGCTTGGATCAGGTTCTCGTCCTCAAGCCTGGTCAACGTGTTGAGCACAATCAAGCTTCACAAAAGTCAAGCTAACAAATCATTCCCGTTGTCCGAACGGACTCAAGACCCAAACGGTTCCGATATTGGGGATAGATTGTACCGGATAAGTTCATCTGTTCTGTTCAACATATTCAATTTGTCATCTCCGATTTCAGATGTTACTATATATTTCGGTTGCATTATATGCTCCTGCATTAGCGCTTTCGTCAATTGCAACAGTGCCGCTCAGTTTTTCAATACTGCTTACCGCAGGCCTTTCAGCACTTTACGTTTCTGTGGTCGGTGTCTGATTTCATTCGTTATTTCTCAATCAGTTGATTATTATCAGTTGGATGGATTAATCACCAAAAAAATCACTATAAAGGATTATGCGCTTCAGTATTTCAGGGTGGTGCTAAAGCTGGTATTTATACTTCCTCTCTACAAATGGCACTCATTTTCGTAAGTATGTCAGTAATATTAACAGTTAGTATGCATGGAAAAAGCTTTTCGGATATCCTTTCAGCAGCTTCTCAAGGAGGACGATTGCAGTTATTTGAGTAAGATTCATCGATTTGATTATCACTTGAACAGAGTTAGAACATCTCACCTCCTTGAATGCACGTAGATGAACGCTTTACAGTTCATTTAACGGTACCACTGCAAACTTATTGATGAATCACTGAAGTTATTATCAATTCAATTTTAAACGTCTCTCCGAAATTGTGATTATTTCGCATTATTCACCATGTCTATTGCAGTTTTCGAATAGATCCACGTATTCGACACTCAGTATGGTCACTACTGATTGGCGGTACTGGTAACATACTGAGTTTGTACGCAGTTAATCAACTCAGCATCCAACGTTACATGGTGATGCCCACATTAAAATCTGCTAAATGGTTTCTCAATTGCTTGCACCTCTGAATATCTTATAGTCATGATCACTTTCACCAAATATTAGTTTTCTATTCAGTAATCACAGCGTGAAGTCAAACCAAAAAACTTGCACAGCAGTTGGTTTTACAAGATCTGCTATTTCGCTGAAAAAGAACATTGAAAGCAATGAATATGATTTTTCAAATGAATCTAATTCAATTGATGCATTTGAATCATCTGCTTAAGAAATCATCCCGTTCTTCAACATTTCACTTTGATTTCAGGGTTGTTCTACTGAACGCTCCATTCAATGGTTTAATATTAGCGATTTATATTGCCATTGGTTTAATTCTCTACCATGAATATCAATTCTGTGATCCAGTTATGTTGGCACGCGATCGTGTGAGTTAGTTGCTCAAGTATTGCCGCTATACAAATTTCACATTTCAATAATCACGTGCTATAAAATATTATTGCATCGAAACTGTTAAAGACTTTATTCTCGATGATGTTTGTGAATGCAATGTTAATTGTTTACTGTAGTGGAATTGCTCTTCATAAACCTCATCATTTTCAGTTATTTCCGCATTTCATAGTTGAACGAATGTACGTTATTCCTGGTTTAATTGGACTGTTCTTGGCTGCTGTCTATAGTGCTGGACTTAGGTGAGTTATTGAAATTTTCCGAGCAAGTATTCAATTTTACCACTAATACAAGTGTTAAATATACAAATATTTGAATTCCGGATAAATATGATTATGTTGTTAATTTTTAATTTCAGTACACTTTCTGGGTCGTATAGCGCACTTGGAACCGTTGTGATTGAAGATGTTATTAAGCAGTATATGAGAAAAAAGTGTAATGGTAGAGAGCTCAAAAATGAGCATGTTATCATTCTTGCTAGGATTTTCCGTGAGTTATTTTCGGATTTTTGAACAGAGAATTTGAGATTTTGATAACAGCTTCATCGTTCATTTTTTGAAATGTAATAAATGATTTAGAACATATTACGATTAGCACTATTATTGGCTTGAATAATACAGTACAATTGAAAGGACGTACACTTTAACTGTGATTGTTGTTTTGAGTGACCTACAGTTTTGTGAATCATTTCCGTAAACAACGCAATAGTCATGATCGTACAAAGCCTTACAGTTCTGATAACGCTTTCGTCCATTGTCTGTGCTTTCTAAAAAGCGATTAGCTTTTCTATTTGTTTTGTTTAGTTGTAAAGTTTCATTTTCCACGTTTATTCTACTACTTTCAGCTCTTGTTTTTTGTGTGCTGTCGATTGCAATCGCATATTTTTGTAGTGTTATGGAAACAATGATGCTACAGGTGATATCTACTGAAAGTTTTTCAATAGCAATAGGAGATAATTACTCCGCTGAAAGTGCCAAAAGTTGATCGCTTCTCGCTTATTTTCAACAATTCTTGCAGATATGCCTATCAATTTTCGGTGTGGCTGGTGGTCCAGTGCTAAGTGTCTTTTGTCTTGGAATGTTTTTTCCACACATCAAAGGAACTGCGGCTTTTGTTGGTATGTAAAATTTGTTTTAAAAATCCACCTTGACTTCTCTCGTACGAAGTTGATAATGACCTCTCATGATCATAAGGTTGACGTTTCGGAAGAAACAAGGAATTGTGTAATTGTTTGAGGACAACTTGCGGCGACGCTCTTCGGATTTTTTATCGCTGGTGGCGCGATTGCAAGTCATGTACGAGCAGTGCCTTTACCAGTGGATCGTTCATGTAATGCCACCGAAATGATTTATTTCAATCCATCCAATTCAACCTATGGCCTGGTTTATCCACTTGACAGGTGCGCACTCCATAAAATTTCTCAAGTAATACAACACAGAAAGTTTCCTCTCTCATGGAAATTAAGAAAAAAATCCTTGCAGTGATTCCTGGTTAGTGCAGCTCTTCCGTATGTCCTACCAATACTATAGCATTGCCGCATTGATTGTCGCTGTTATTGTGGCACATTTAACTCAGCTATTCACAAGTAGGTTTGATATAATTTCTGGTACTTCTTTATTTTTAGAGAAAATTCGCTTTGNTTTAGGTGGAGACAAACACAAAAACGATCCACCTGTGGACAGTGATCTATTGTCTAGATTGATTACGATGCGACGCAGACAAGCAAAGCACGTAAGTTGAACATCGATTTTTGATGTAGGTGCAAAAAGGAAGTGAGTACTACATACTCATAAAAAGTTTTTCCTCAATATTTCATACGATTGATGATCTAAAATTGAATACTTTAAGGAATATCGTTTGAACGATGAACGAATTAAAGAGGGCGTTTTATTGAATGGCGTAAACGAGGAAATGAAAGCAGAAAAAAGTGCAGTTTAAGGATTGTCGACCAATTCGTTAATAATAAACTTACGAGATTGATGATGAAAGATTTGCTATGTGATGCATAGTTGAGGAGTTTGTTTTGTTGTTAAGTTGTTGTTTTAATAGGGGTTCAACTAATTTCTTAGAACTCATAAACGTACTGAACCTTGCTTGATTTATGATAACGATATGATTTAAAATGAAACACAGTATACACCCTGTCTGAGTACTTTTTAAAACCATTCATATAGAGAAAGGTGGACTGAGGAGTATAACCTTGTTTGTGTTCGAACGGTCAGAAATATCATCTGACGATGAGTGGATCGAGTGGGAAGTATAATGGAGAGATAGAGGATGTGAATGAAGATCATGCGAGTATGAAAAAATATTCGTTCCCCACTGACCCTATCGTTACCACTTCTAAAGAACCGATTCAGTTCATAAACCATTGCATCTTGAACCACTTTTTGAACCGAGTTATTCATTTAAAACCCATCGTGACTGTAAAATATCCTGAATCGTAATACCAATACCTCATACAGCAGCACATTACTTGGGTGGTCTCAATGCTGACAACTTTGCCACTTTAACGTTCGTTGGACTTGTTTAACCAAAGCGAGGGAGAAAATAAGATATCATTGCCTCTTGCATTATCATATCGGCAGATACGAGATATTCACCAAGAATTGAAATCTTTTTTAATTGAAATAGAAATTACTGAAGCGAACACTTAACAGCAAGAACATACGAATAACATTGTCGTAATGATCATCATAGATTTATATTACGATTAAAATCAGCTTTATTGCAGGAGACACAAAAACAATAGCATCAGCGATTGAATTGATAAATACGAACAATGTGATGATAATGCGAGAAATATGATAACGAAATAATGAAACGAACTTTATGAATTATGATAATTCACTTATGAGGCAAACTTAGGTAAGGCAATATAACTGATGCAATAGAACTGAAATCTTAGAAATAATATTAATTTCTGTCGCAATAAATGCACAATTCAAGTAACACACAGAACGAAGACACATGCATGAATGAAAGTAAGTGATGATGAAAGTACCAAAACATTGGAAGAAGTACTTACGGGGAGAATATTGCTATTGCACACTGAATTGTATAAGGCAAATCAAGTGCATACACGAATTATAACATGGTGAATTGATTCAGATGAATGATCAGATGTGATGAGAAATTCGGTTTCATGGTACTATAGTAGTTCTACAACTGAAGAGGCTGATTAGGATACGGAGAAGACATGTGAAAGCAGTAGTAGTAAAAGTGCAACGACGAGTTCAGCATTAAGATGAAGATAAAATAAATTTTCAACGTGAAACAATGAATGAAATATAAAAAATGTAACAATTCCTTCACAAACGTTGAATCAATTACGGGTCATCAAAAGAGGAAATAAGATTAGGGTACAATTATGGATCAACTGAAACGAACGTGGAGTGAAATATAACATGGTTACAAGCTTAAAGGGACAAAATTAAAAAGAGCTTGACTGAAGGCTGATGAGTTAGGATCGAACGTGAAGAAAGAGGCCATAAAGAATAATCATTTACGGTTAAAATCAGAAATATGCATCGCAGTTGTTGTAGATGATAAGGGAAGATCAAATGGAGTTGTGCGTAAAATATTACTTGAGGTGTGAACATCAACAGGAACTGTGATGAGGAGGATGGCTGTTATTTTTTCATTCATAGCATACGAATAGCATTATCATAATTAATAAAGTACAAATAGAATTAACTTGTCATTATGCATAAATTATGTAGCATTTTACTAATATACAGTGGTGGATGCAAGCCTAACGAACAGCAGAGGAAAAACGAAACAAAAAGTGATGAGAGACGAAGACAACTGATGAGATTAATCAACGAGATTCAACATATTAACCCATACTGATCTCCTCTCCACTTGATCTCCAATATTAATTGATTCCACAAAAGAACTTCCTATTACATTTATAATCACGCAGCTAATTCTTTCTTTCTCACTCANAAATTCACTGGTCACAGTAATTCGTTACATATTTATCCATCCCATCGTTGTTTAATCTTGATAAAATTATAGCGAAATATGAATATTTCACGATATCACAGCAGCAAGATGATCGAAGAAATATCTCATTCGTAATCAGATTACTGTAAATTTCAAATGCTGCTAGTATGGAGAAAACGAATGAAGACAATGCGACGGTATTATACGGTGATCTGCTGACGTCGTTCACATATGCACGCTTGTCTCGTATTTTGCATTAGAAGGAAGAAAATGAATGGAAGAAAAATCAGGCTGGAACGGAACGAAACAAGACAATGATGTAGGCATACAAGCTGTACACATAAAGTATTTGTTGCATAAGACACGAACAAACAAAACATACAGCAGTTGTGACAGCATTTCATAATAACAGTTGCTTGATGAAAGAATAAATATTTGAGTTCCGTTCAGTAGAGTAATATCGTTAAAGCGCTCTATTTCTTCTTCTTCTTCATTAAATACATTATTCATTGTTCTGCTACTACATCCCACTATCTTCACACGAACTACAGATTTGATGATGCCAGAAGAAGCGAAACCGAAAGTGTTATTAGTCAGTCAGCCATAAGTTCATTCAACAGCAACAGCTGGTATTTAAATTCGATAATAAACGTGCTCATTCAAATGATGAATGAAATAAGAAATTGTTCATCGCACTGATAAATTCAATAAGTTCATGTAAATTGCTGAATGAGTATTGAAACAATTGATCATCCACGAGTTTTGAGAATAAATCGTCAGAATGAGTAGCGTTCAATCAAGAAATTCACGATGCAACACTAATAAGATCAATCATATAACAAGACCACGCGATATACCATCGCAAAGCTGAGATATCGCAAGCTTCGTTACGCGAACCACTCAATGAGCAATATATCACTTTTTAAAACTCGAAACATTTGTTGCAGTCAGGCGTTCGATCATTTTCTCTCAAGATTTATATGATTCGCCGATCAACTCGTTAATGATGCTCACTGTCTTTACGGATGTCTTACCCTGAACAAAACTATCGTGATCGCCCTCAACAATGTACACTTTACTTTCGTCAGACACCTGAAAGCAACGAATACGTAGAAGTCAGCTTTCACTCTTAATTAACGATACAAATTATTAGTTGAATTGAAAAAGATCTTTTTGAATCAATTTTGAATCACTAATAAGCTATTTTTCAATCAATTTTGGTACCTGTAAAAGTGAACGTGAGATAGATACAGGTAATATTGAGCGATCAGATACTACCGTCGTTTAATCATAATAGCATAATGGAAGTGAAATATGATATAACAATCCAAGAAGAAGAATTTGTTATATATTCAAATATGAATCGGCTAGTTTACCTGAGAAATTCCGTAATCTTTGCCGACATCCTCTTCACGAGCGGCTCCTTGCTCAGCTCTGATCAGTGTGATAACACCCTTGAACTTACGTTCGGGCTTATATCTGAACGGAATGAATGAGTATTGCAAGAGAAAACGCCAATAGATGTTAGTTAATTTCAGCAATCTGTGCTCAACAATAAAGTTTAAACGACAAACCACTGAAATGACAAAAAACTAAAGCAATATTAAAATACTGAATAGGAATGAACGCAAGGCATTAATAAACTATTGTACTGAACAATCTCAAGAATGAGTACAATGCTAATTAGAAACCACTTACTTGTCCGCCATGACAAATTTTGACCTCATCGCACAGCAGGCAAAATCGATTGTTTCTGCTGATTTGAAGAGACCGGTTGTCATTACGGTGTCGACCACTTTCTGTAAAAGTTTGCTATTTCAGTTGCGAATATTGGAAAATTGATTAGAGTAAGCATAAGATTTGTACATGATTACATTCTCCTACAAAGAAACGATGAAAACAATTGAAGCATACTTGTACACGAGCTTTGAAACCAGCTTGTTGTAAGAGTTCAACACGGAACTTTTTGTAGTCAACATTTGCAAAGCGTAACGTCATGGCGCACATGATTTCTGATTCAAACAATGGATTGTTAACAAGCGTATCGCCCGTAACACCGAAAGCCATTCGATATACCTAAAATTACGCGGTACTGAGTGTACAAAAGAAAATGTAATTGAAAATGAATTGCTACGACAAATACTAAACAACTGACGTTACGATAAGTTTGCATGTAGAGATGAGATCCATCGAGAAGAATGAGCCTCTCAACCGCATCGATGCCGTCTGTTTCTTGAAGCATGGTTGCCATCTCAAAACCGATGCATGCACCATATGAATAGCCGATAATGCGGTAAGGACCCTTAGGCTGTACCTTACGCATTTCCTGCAATGACGCGTTACTTCATTAATGACTGTCCACAATAGCGATTATTCATGGACAGAGACTTATCATCATTGGTTCTAAATCTGATGAAGAGACATTGATAAGTGATGGATATGCTGCTCATCTGGCGCAATAAAAAACCTTCAGATCAACATTTCAAAAGAAAACGAAGTTGCAACGGAAAGCGATAAATACTTACTGAGATATACTTGTGTGCGACTTTTTCAATCGAATCCTGTGGCACACTTCTAGTTGACTGAAAACAATAAGCCGGAAAATTGCACTTGGACATAACTTTCTTGAGTGGTGTAGCGATTCCCTCTATTGAGTGAACGAAGAACGTGACCGGTCCTTCTTCAACTGTATTACATTTCAACACTAAATCGGTTGGCTCAAGGTCATTTACGTCAATTCGCATCTTGAACAATTGATTCATTTGCTTTTCTAGTTGCTCGACTGTATTTTGTTCGGCTTCCTTTTCACCTTCTTTCTTCAATTCCAATTCGTTGGAATGTAATGCTGTTGAGGATGCACCACCACTATCAGCTAATTGCTGAAGTTTATTTAATGTTAGTGTTCTGATATCCTTCATTGACAGAACAATATCGTAGTCGCGTTCGAGTGCTTGTTTTATTTCAACGCCCATCAACGAATCGAGACCTAAATCACCGAGATTAGCATCTGGATTGAGTTGTGAGATATCGTTGACGCCAAGAATATGTGCGATTGTTTGCAACAAATTTCCTCCACCCGACACCTTCTTGGAGCCTACATCCGCTTTGATGTAACTGGCGACAATTGGATGATCCCACGACAGGAAAAGATCGAGTGCGGCAAGGCACGAGGGCATTCGTTGTGGAAGAGTTCCGCCAACGACAGTGTTGTTATCACCCATATTCTCAAGGATAACACCAACATCGCCCACTGCACCCCACTGGATCGCGATTCCTGGATAGCCATCTTCACGACGATGCTCGATTATTCTTTCCATTGTTGAATTCGACCAACCGTAATTTGTTTGACCAGCGTTTCCTCTTCCCGAAGTTATCGACGAAAATGCGACAAACCTGAAAAAAAATTCATCGAATACGACCGAGCAAAGCTCATCTTTTGTAGAGTTGTGATAACCAACATGCACTGTTGTGTGTTTATACTGTTACAAGAGGACAGTTTTATGATGAGCGAAAATATCAATTTCTGGTGATCAATTAGTTGGCTTTAAAAGCAAGTCAATACATACCACTTCAGTTTATCGCCACATTGTTCCCTTGTTGCTGCATCCAAATTGATTGTTCCCCAATATTTTGCTTCAGCAGCATCTTTGAAGTTTTGTACGTTCTGATTCTCGAAAAGACAATCACGCAGAACCATTGCTAAGTGAAATACGCCACCAATGAAACCCATCGAATGACACTGTGCGATCAATTCTTCTGCATCTTCTTTCTTGGCGATGTTCAACGTTGAAATCAACACTGAGATACCGGTTCGACGCCAGAAATGCACACATCGTGCCTGATAACCGGTGCGAATTCCAGAACGAGACGTTAGCACTAATCTACAATCACATGTAATTGCACACCGATGACCTCAACATATAAGAAGCAATTGTGACTATTCCAAAGGTTAGACAAGCAAAATAGAAATGACAAGGAACTATCACGATTCATTTACAATGAGTAGTAGCAGAGCATAATCTATTTTAAAATGAGCACCGAATTCACAAATCTCACATAAAAAAGCATCTCCAACTAACTTTTTAGCGCCCCTATTAATGAGCCATTGAGCGAGCTCAAGACCAAAGCCACCAAGACCACCGGTTATGAGATAAACGTGCTGAGGATGACATAACGTCCTACAAATCGCTCGAACTCGTATTGGTGATGGTGCACATATCCGTTCGGGTTCTTCTTGACGAATCTCCATTAGAACCTGGAATTTTGAGTCATTGAATCGCAAAAAAAGATAGAGGCATTTATTGACTGCTACTGCGCTGAAATAGGGAGAGTTGAAGGTACATTCGTGAGGTATTATGATGAAAAGAAAAGAAAAATATTGGTTTTTTACTGCAATTGATAGAAATTAAACATTGAAGTATCAGTGATAAGCGTATTCCTCGTAGCATCAATAATAAATGAATAATAAAACTGTTGAACGGTCACTGAAACGAAATAATCAAATAAATACCTTTCCAATGTGTTTGCCAGCTGACATATAACGGAATGCATCTTCAGCCTTTCCACTGGAAAAGGTGGTGTATGAGAGTGGTTGCACAACTCCGTTCTGAATGCCTTCTTCCAACAAGCGAGCGATCTCCTTCCAGTCCTCTTTATTGCCGATGCCCTGATCCATAATTGCGTCCAGAAGAATGCCATGGAATGTAACGTTCTTCAGGAAAATCGCCATCCCAAGAGATGAGTTTTGTGACAGGTCAACCTTACCGATTTCCAAGAAACGACCATGCTGAGCAAGACATCGAACCGAAGCCTAAATGGACAGATAGGATAAGATCGCAGCAAACAGTCCTTATCAATGGTAGTTATTGGTATCTGAACAAGAGTCAACTTCAAGACTGAAACTATTTTAAAATAATGATACACAGATTGGTAATGAAGCGATTCCTTTAGAATATGCACCAATGAAATGTTGATCACTCACTTGGAGCATATGTTGTGCGAGAGAGTTGAGCACGACATCAACTCCACGACCTTGTGTTTCATGACGGATATGCAGTTCAAAGTTAGCGTTCCGAGAACTTGCGAAATGCTTGTCTTTCAGCGCCGGGAAACGTTTTTGCAAAAAGGCTTTCTTTTCGGGTGTTCCAACGGTAGTATACACCTCACAACCATATGAAAGCGCAATCGCAATCGCAGCCTGTCCTACCCCACCTGAGCCACCGTGAATTAGAACCTTATCGCCACGTTTGATTCGACCACGCATAACGAGTGCGTAGTAAGCGGTCGTATAAACCACCGGTACGGTTGCAGCATCTGCAAGCGACCAGCCATCTGGTACAACCCAAGAATATTCACGATCAACGATCACCGATGTGGCTAGTGCTTGTGCGGGCAGAATTCCCATTATTCGAGTACCACACTTCAATCTTCCTGAATACTCCATGCCCAGGAGACATTCGCGATCGGCAAACTAAAAACTAATTGCATGTATTCTGTGAAAACTAACTGTGAAAAACCAAGTCCATCAAATAGAACGATGATTAAGTGAGTAATGCAGAAGTTCTTTACTTGCAGTTCAAATTAAATTTGCTTTTGAAATTTAAAGATAGTGAGGCAAGTTAGTGAAATAAACGAAAACGAAAACAAACATTAAAATTAATCTGATGCAATAGCTTGTTGAATGTTCATTTCCTACTTACAAAACTGCTCAATTTCACTCACTCATGTCATAAACAGTAACATTTGATCCATCAGTTCAATTCACACACCTGGCCAGGAATGGCATCTGGTGGCAATCGTCCGTATGCGAGCATAACATCACGGAAGTTGATAGCTGAGTAGTAAACATGGCAGAGCTCGTGTGATGTAGAAGTGGTGCGAGCAACTTCTTCAAAATACTGATTTGGAGATTGGAACCAAGTTAGTGAGCTCACATCACCGCGCACTAATGTATTGATGAATGCATGTTCCACTTCTTTGAATGTGTGCGCATCGTCTGGAAAAAAACATATTTTAAGCAATAATTGGATGGATTATCGTCTTTTTTCTACAACCTCCTTGAACGAAGTTGAACTGATGATCAAAAAGTTCACACTTACCTTCTTTGACAACCATATGTCGCATTGATCCCCAAACCCCATCGCGATAATTGTTCGCATGCAAGTCTAGATCCATTATTTTTTTGGTGTTTTCAAATTCAGGACCCATTTGCGCAGGACCTTCTCGATTCTCTTTTTTGACACTCATATCGAGCAAAGTACGGAAGCGATTAGACTTCAGATATTCTTCATTCAGGCACAGTGCTAATCCCAGTAGACCGTTATTTCTCACTTTTGTGTTCATCATCCATATTGTTTTACTGTCTGGCTCAGTAAGACGTTCTTCGATGACCTTTTGCAGTGCTTCGATCCAAGAATATTCAACGATATCATCCAAATCGATGAATACGGGATCGACCGCTTGAGCGGGTATCTTTCGAATTGCATACATTGTTGTCAACATTGGTTCATCCGTCTGGTAAGAGCACAGACGGAAGTTGCACTGCTTGAAAATGTCGAGCAATTGCTCATGCGAATAGTATCTACCAAACGCACGGTCTTCACCCAACTTCTCGATCTGCTTGCCATATAAGCCTTCAATGGTGAGTGCCACTTCATAATCTCTCGTCACTTCAACCACAACCACGAATCCGTCATCGCGAAGCAGTTCTTTACATCGATTCAAATACTGCACTGCATCAGGCTTTCTACAATTAACTATTTTTGAACTCATTATCGTGCAAATAAAATTCATTGACTGAATCTGTATCAATATTTGAGACTGGCAAGTTATGCTTCGCAATAAATGCTTTGCAATTCCTAGAAAGAACGAACCTTGCGAGTACTTTATCCAATATGACTATATCGAAGTTTCGGGCATCACTAGGTACATTGAACTGTTTTTCATCAAACGACATTTTAATTTTACGTGCACCAAGCTGCACCAATGTGCCTTCATCCATATCGTTCACATTTGGACCGGCACATGCCCATTCGACTTCAAGTAATGGATGTGAGCTGACTGCATGGACACAGAATTTGAGCTGTTCGGTTGAGTCAAACTCGATAGTACAAATCTTATTGAGATGACCAGCGGAGTTCTCAAGGCAAATGTCCTGCAATGACAATTGTTCAATGAAATGAAATTATCTCGTTGATCAAAAACCAAACGAAGAAAAAAATGTTCGTTTATACGACAATATAATACCTGAACAGCTTTCAGCACACGATCGTGTACAAAAGCAGCACTCCATAGACGATCAAGATCGAAAATTTTCACTACACTCTGCATTTTATCAATAACTTTTTTCTCGAACTCTTTCACATCCGATCCAATTTCCATCGCAAATATCTCATCGAAAGTTAAAGCTATTGGTGACCTGAAATTATTCTTTCAACTCATTATTTCTCATTCATTTGAATCACTTTCAATTCATTTCATAAGTAATAATGCAAGCATTCGAAAGTAATTTATCACAGAATGGAAATTTGAACGTCCGAAGAAAGAATATGCTGATGCAATTTGAATGATTGAAGGGTAACGGGAACTAACATTGCGTCATCAAGCCATTGTTTATGTTCGATGTCAGTAACGACTTTCATGTACTTCGATAGCTTCTTAACGGCTACCGAAAACAGATCACCGTTCTTGATATCTTTCAGAACTCCAGCGACCTGCCATTTGGCTAATCCGTTTGCAAGGATTGATCGAAGAAAGTCACGATAACCAATAAGTGCTTCACGTTGACGTGGAAATTCCACTAAGCAGCTGAAGAAGATTGCGGTTAATGGAAGGTCGCGAACGCGGTAGTCTTTCTTTGGAAATGAAGAATCATCAGTTAAAAAAAGAAGTTACTTGATTATGACTGAACATTTATTGCAACAGTTTAAAAAAANAAAAAAACATTTAAACGATCATTTAAAGAGGTAGATAATTGAAATAATAAGAGCTAACTTTTCGTCGAAATGAGGAATGAAGTACAACTTTTCATAATACAATTGACCAGCGGCTTGTATACGACGTGATACGGTATGCGCAGTCAAGTCGCAACATTCCACACCACCAGCAATACAACCGTTTGTAGCAATATCGTTACGAAGTTCGATCACCTGAATGCCATCTGCAAACACAAATCTCAAATTACCGCTGAATCAGAGCGAAATTGTTTATCAGTTCGAAAGAAGCCGATTGCATTGAAGTTACTTTAGACAATGAAATCAATTCAATACCGCTTTCTTGGATGTGCTCAAGATGTTTGATTGGATCAACTCGTAGGTATCGAACACGAGTTGGTAGTCGCAAAGTATCAGCTCGTTCGGCAAGCAATGCAGTCTGAAGAAGCGAATCGAGGAAGGTTACCCAGTTACCAGTCCAATACAACATACCACGTTCACCGCTGTTGCATGTACGGTATATGCCTCTGCAAATAAACAGGATCGATGAGACACAAAAAGGGTTGGAATGGCTGAGTAATTAAAGAAGGGTGCAAACCTGAAAGCTTGTCCATACTCATAACCACGTAACAAGAATTCCTTATATGCATCTTCTGTATCCAGTTCAATGCGCTCAGCCAATTGCGATGTTTCAATTTCCTTGAAATTACTGTAATAGAATGGTGTGTTCTCGTCAACAATACGAATATATCCGGATGCAGCCAGTTGCTCACCATCCAAAATTTCGAAGTAACCATTGCCAGGTGTAATCACTACATCTAGTCGAACTGCAACACGCAATATTTTTCTTGCAATTTCAAGGAAAATCCATAGCAGTACAATGGATCAAACCGATANTATATCATTATTTATTATTGTAAATCATGATCAATCAAGGTTATTTCGAAAAAGTTTAATGAGATGGACGCATTAACAAATCAATTATCAAATGAGATATTTCTGAGCTGAAGAGAAAGAAAGAATTGAAATAAATCTTCTTCGATGATGAAAAATGCAATATAATATGAACAAACTTGGTTTCGTGACCATTGTAGCACTATAGACACGAATGTCTTCCAAAATTACAGGCGTTTTTTGAAAGTCAAGTCCATTTAACTTAGCGATCGTCTTCCAAGCCAGAACCATATATCCGGTGAAAGGATAAAGAACACGTCCGTCGATTACATGATCCAACAAGAAAGCCTCTTTGGAGTCAGATGCGAACGGATCGATCGTATAACTGGATGAGGTGGCCAAATGACCACCACCAGCTGCCGACAGACTTTTGCCATCGATAACAGGCCAGTCTTGACTGTGATCCCAACGCCACATTGGTGAAATCATTGGTGTACCAATTGGTACTGGATATTGAACGGCTGGATACAACGCTTCGATGTGAATCGTTATACCGGTTTGATAAATTTTTCCAAGACTCTACAACAGAGAAATTTAATTTTCATAATTGCAAGTTGTGATTATGCTAGACTTGTATTATCGCTCCTACTGTAGGAATGCTATTAATACCCAAATGACGACAATCTTCCTGATCGATTCGCATCACAAACAATGCACTCACTTGTAAAAATGCTTCAAGTTCACGTTCTTTTTCTTTGGCATTCATGAGACCAACATTCGTGCAAGTTTTATGGAGTGATCGTCTCAGTATGGAATGCATCAAGCAATGAGGTGCGATCTCAATCGTGACTGCATTGGCGGGGATCTTTTGAAGTGCCTCATAGAAAAGCACTGGACTGATCGCATTATTCGTGTGATAATCAGCCGAACATGTTTGCGCCATTTCACAATCCCATTCATTCTCTGGGATCGACGTCGAAATCCAACGAGATGAACGCGGTTTCGGTTCGGGTACAACAGTTCGCATTGCATTCACCATTTTATCTTTCACCTAGAAATTGCATTCATTCAACTTCTAATTACACACACTCCCTCTCTCGGTAACGTCATAACTTACTCGATTCCACAATTCATCCTCTATTTTAATCAGTTCCGAACAATATAACTACGACAGCAACATTCCCCAACAACAATATATCTATCCATCAAACGAGTAAGCAACATCCAATATTACTGTTTTTAAACAATGAACGAAGTATACGTAGCTGCAAACACCTATCAAAAAGGACAATCAAGAAAGAAAATGATCGCTTCATAAATGATTCCATTCCAATCAGAAGTGAAACGGTAGTTAAATTATCAATCAAGTGAATATTCATTTATCATCGTTCATCTAGGAAGTATTTTCAGTTGGTTACCTTGCGCATGATTGGAGAATGGAATGGAATTCCGGAGGTATCAACAGGTTTCGCGAATATATCTTCCTCCTTGAGTTCTGCGATTAATTTTTCCACTTTTTCTGTATCACCCGAAATAGTCACGGAATCAGCACTATTATGACAAGCAGGAACAACGCCTTCAGGACATCTATTTGTTGCTTCTTCCCTAAAGTAACTCACTTTAGGAACGACGGCCGATCACTTCAGTACGCTGGTATTTGATCGGGCATCATTCAACTGCCCACTTATAACAGATGCAAATTTTGCAGATTTTCAAGATGAACGGCGGTCAATGGCACAGAAAAATGATTTAAGCTCTGAAAAAGTAATCAAATAACGAACCAAGTCAGTCCAACAGCAGCCATGCTTCCTTCGATCTTCTCATCACTGTTCATAATTGTTGTACCACGATGATAAGCCAGTCGCATCGTTTGCTCTCTGGTGAGGCCACCGTCTGCATATCCGCAGCCCATTTCACCTGTTGAGTGTCCAATTATACCATCCGGAGTTACACCCATCAGAAAGAGCACATCCGTCAACGCAATCTGCAATAAATATCACCGTACACAACTAATTTTAAAATACGTCAGTTTAGTTGGATGAATAACATAAAAGGAACGATCCAGCAATGAAACAAACATCGAATAGATTGTTGTGAAAAGAAGAACCTGGATTGCTGTGATTGCAAGCATACAATTTAAAGTGTTATTCTTATAAAGTTCAGGATCATCCAGTTGTAACATTCTGTAAACATCAAGTCCATATTCGTCGAGTGCAGCACTCGAGGTACGTAGCGATTCATCGAACGCTGGTATTGACATAAGTTGGCGTCCCATACCAGGCCACTGACTACCCATTCCTGAAAAACAATTTCTTTCATTGCTGAAGGAAAATGGCATTTTGCTCCATTTGTCAAATCAAGGTCTATTCAGACCAGGGACTCGCATAAATGAGTAAATATCGCCTCGAGAAGGAATGATGGATATTAATTGAATTTTTGTAATTTATTATCCATGGTTATTCCATTTTTTCACATTATTTTTGATAATGACGAATTTACTACTCTGATACCGTTGGTGAATGAGTCAATTTTCTAAGTTCCTTTTCATATGCTGCTTATGAGTTGGAAGTGCGATAGAATAATGGTGTTCAAATAAATTGTTGGAAGGAGAATGATGGTCTGCAAAACAGTCAAAGGAGGGTACGGAGGAAAACAGTTTGAGAACCCCTGGTTTAGAAGAGGATTCAATTGCAAGTCTCTTTTGTGACAGTTTTCACTGATGAAAATATCTACATATGAAGATACGTACAAACTGCAGAAATTAACGGCTGTTGCATTACTCGTTTATGTACTATTCCATTGGTGATAACTAAATTCGCATGAATCAACTTTCAGTCTTTCAAAATGATATATACAAGAACATCAAATGATGAGGAAGTTAACCGAAATATATGATAAAACGTTTGAAGAACAACCAAACTTACCAGAGTAAATGAAATAAATTTGTTTTTTCTCAGTGATCGTTATTTTTTGAACGTCTTTCAGAGGCGGTTGATCTGGTTCACGTTTAGCGTCTGCTGGGAACGGGATTTTGTCACGATTGATGATCATATAGCCTCGATATGGTGTATCTTTAGCTGGTAGATTTGCTTGATTGGCTAACAATTGTTGAAGATAGACATTTTCTGGCTCAGCCATAAGACAATCGAATATATTCATAACTGCTTCAGTGGTACGCCCAGAATATGTGATGATTTTCATGAAGTTTGTTGGTGCAGCCTTACGTTCCGCATGATTTGCAGCACGCAAGATGATATGTGTATTACTGCCGCCAAATCCAAACGAATTCACACCGACAATACCACGTTGGAATGGAGTTTTCTCAGTTACCACATAAAAACATAATTAATATCAGTTTTGATGACAATTCCTTTTCTTGCATTCAAAAAACATCTCCCCGAATGTTTCATAAGAAATTTGAATCCTCGGTTCAAGTAAGCCACTCAAACTGATGTGAAGACAATAATGATTAATTAATTTTTACATCGCATGCTACCATTTAACCAACAGCTAGCTCAACCTTGCATTTAAGCTCAAATTCTAAATCTAGTCTATAACGAGAAAAGATTGCATGAAATACCAAATCAGTCCAACAATTTGTAGTTATGTAAGTACAAACCTTCAAACGCCCATCAGTTAGGCCAGGAATATATGGATTTGGCTCCTTATAATGAAGATTTGGTGGTATAATTCCTCGTTCCATAGCGACTAAAACTTTCGCAATTGAGCAGAGACCAGATGCTGGCTCTGCGTGTCCCATACTCGATTTTACAGATCCAATCAACAATGGTGAAGTCCTTCAAAAAAAATCGACTGACTGGCTCACTGGTATTTTGGATAATCATTTTTAGATGATAAAATTTTTGAAAGGTACACAAGACAAATCAAAGAACTACTGAACCTTAGTTGTTCAATACTTCAAAACTCAAACAAGCATTTCCTTAAAGGACGCTTACCTATTTGTACAAAACACTTGACAAATAGCATTCGCTTCTTGTGGGTCACCCACTTTCGTGCCTGTTCCATGGGTCTCGACATATGTGACAGTGTTCGGGTCAATTCCTGCTTCTCTATAAACTTCTTCGAGCAGAGCTGCTTGACGCTCACCAGATGGAAACGTTATACCCTGAATGCACAGCATTACTATATTTCAGTCATTCCTTACTCTCCTCATTTCTTACTCTTCAAAAAATATGATGAATAGAAAGCACAGATGCTTAATCAGAACCTGTTCCTTATAACCATCAGTGTTACTTTTTGCATGAACAACCGTTGCGTATATGCGTCTTGCGGATGACTGTCGTTGAAGAATTATCGCCGCAATGCCTTCGGTTCGACAATATCCATCACCTTCAACATTTCTTCGTAGTTCCAAATTGATCGTAAGTGGAATTTTCGATACCAAATAAATTACTAATTGAGTTGCACAGCCAGTAAGAAGAGCTGTTGAAACTGGAGCAGAACAAAAGCAAACCTGAAGCATCAAAAGAACGACAGCTTCCCTTATCGGAAAGCATTCCAAGTCGAAGAAACTGGAGAGCAGCGGTTGGTGTAAGTGTAAGATGCGCTCCAGCGACGACTGCAGCATCGCACTGCTCTTGACGAATCGCATCGACTGCGAGTTGTAACGCACATAACGACGACGAACATGCGGTATCGACCGAGAACGAAGGACCTGTTTAAGAATCTCACTTTAAATAAAAGCATCTAATCGAATCCATAATTTTATAAGGTAACAATTATCACTTCCACCAATGCAAAAGCAATGTATACCTCGCAGATCGAATGTGAAACTTAGACGATTGCTGAACATTGATCCTACACATCCTGTTAGCGTGTATCCAGTTACCGTTTCTGGATCTTGTGTGAGAGCGCCACCAGTTTCGGACGCTGAACAACCGACAAATACGCCTGTTCTTGAGCCACGTAACTCAACCGGACTCAGACCTTAAAATCAATAATTCTGGTGTATCGGCAACAAATCTGAATTGCGATTCTCATAGGTTGTAATATTTTCATATCGTTTCTATCAAATATTTAGGCTTTAGTGTTCCATGATAGCCACTTCAGACAAACGGTTACTGCCAATCCTTTCAAAAGAAACATAAATACGGTATATACATAAATATATGTTTAGAACAATGACTATTGCCAAATAGCTGCACAATGATACATTCTTTCTTCTTCTGCAACAATTCATCGAGTTCAACCTATTCAGATTGTCATTAGCGAGATTTCGTTCAAAAATGCACGTTGCTGCATCAGAATTGCGATGCAATAGGCATTTTTTCAAATGATCATCTAAAATTTCTACATGATAATACCACCTACCTAACGCTTGTTCGCTTGCGTGACTGTTTCATACCTGTTCTCGTTTTTAACTTCTACGTCTTAAATTTCGCTTAGCTATGGTCAAACAAGATGTCTCAGTCAGTCACTCTTGTTGGTTAACAGATATCAGTGTCGGAATATTTCTGTGCCTAATGGTGATGAAGTGCTGGTTAGCTTCCGAGAGGTCTACTATTGCTATGGAATGGTAAACTCTACTGCCGTACTCAATATGCTTGTCATGCCGTCATGAACTGATGAATCGCTAAGCATGTAGCAACAAGCAATCTTCATAACTTCCTCTTCATCTCAATACATTTCGAATACATATTTAGTTCCTATCGACCTGTAGTAGCAATATTAACTACATCCGTCAGTGGCAGTTCAAGGTCGAATGACAGGTACAAGAGGGCACTGCTCGCCCATTACTCTTCGTCATATCTAATCGCTATCCCATCGACCAATCCATCGCAGTTCTATACAACCTTTTCATTGCAATTCTTCGTCATTCATATTACCTCACTACGTCTCTAACACGTAAATTCTCTGAATGTTGCAAAAAATACGAGCCCAACTAATTTAGACTTTCCAAGGATCGCCTTCAAGTTCCGATGAAGTGGGTAAAATATAAATAATACCAACAACTGTTTGATTGAAAAATGTGCTTTTCGATCGTCATTCACGAAAATATTTGAAACGATATCAGGAGATAAACGCATATTGCAATATGCTCTCTCATTGATCAGTATTCCGCAATATTTGAATCGTATCTTAATTATTGCACTACCGCCACATGTTTTATGCTAATATGTACTTTCAAATTTCGCGAATGTGGTAAATTTATTTGTGTTTAACATCGATGTGACATATATCATTTCACGCCATTTCTTAAGCAACATTTTCAATCGACCTTGCGTTTAGTTTGCTCACAAACGAACTGCACCTCACTAGAACTGGTTAGAAGCATTAATCGTTCACAGTCAATTTGACACTTTCAAATGAGGCAGAAAACAAATTTGGATTGATTGATTGATTGAGAATATATGTTTTGAAGTGAATGTGACGGAACGCTTACCAGCATCAATGATAGCTTCGAGCGTCACTTCAAGCAACTTACGTACTTGAGGATCCAAAAAATTCGCCTGGAAAGATATTGTAAACATGCATGATATTCGAATGCGACTCATTAATCTATAACATGCTCACTCACTAGAATGGAATGTCGTTATGAACAATGGCGGGGAATCTGCACATCATCGATATTTATTCAGGGAACGTTACAGATCACCCTTCCAGAAGGATACGAGGAACTGGAGTACGAGGACAGAATTATGGAGAGTTGCAAAACAGCACTCGATAAGGATGCAGAAAAGTTCGACTGAATTGAGCAAAGTTGGGGTGTGGGGGTTGGGTTGCTTCAATAATGGTGAAAAACTGAGGCGATGCCTATGGAATCGCCGAACGAGCATTATTCATACAAAGATCAACATTTATGATAGTAATCATCTGCACTGAATATAAACTCTTAACAAATAATTATTCACAGTTATTTGTAAAAACTCTTCATTTGAATCAACCACTTCTGCGTTCATCTCATTCAACCACTAAATCCATTCATAAAAATATTCATCTTGAGACAATTTAACTCTACTTCATCTTTCTCAGTGAAAATTAATTATTCAGAATAACAACCTGTTTGGGTGTAATACCAAAATATTGCGCATCGAATTTCTTGAGATCTTTCAGTTTACCGTGTCGTTTTGGTAAATCGAATATTCCTAAAGCACCAAAAATGAATCATTTATATTTGTTAGTAATAAATTGAAAAGAGGTGATGCATCTGCACCGAATGACGTTCGATTTGATCAGTGTGAATAATCACTCAAGAGTAATCAGCGTTTCATTGAATGAGCCAATCACTGAATTTACATTCATCCCTTCACTACTTTTACGAATAGATGTGGAAAGAATTCGAAGAGATGAAGTCGACACAGCATAGTTATTCAAACTTATAAATTAACGTTCTTTGCTTTTACCGCCATAGTACCACTTTGCTTCGATGTTCAATTATGTTTTCAAAAAGAACTGAAAATGAAGAGTCTCGAATATGAATATACCTGGTGGCCAACGCAAGTCATCCTCGGTAACCAAATCTTCTCCAGCCATAAGCATATCGCCAAACTCCTGTACATTTTCGCATCGCGGAAAGCGACCCGAAACGCCGGTGATAACGATATCCTCTTGATCACGCCAAAACGGCGCGTCACCGGTCGAATGCATGCTCCCGTTCGACTGAAAATTGCACTATTTCGAAAGTATGATAACTGCAGAACTTAAACATCTCTGCTGCATTGAGCAATAGAATTTATGCATCAGTGGATGACTTTTCACTTGATATGACAATAAAGAACGGCAATATATTGTGTTGAAGAAAATTTTTGAAAATAACTGAAGAAACGCTACGAACGTCCTCAATGCAAACGTGATGCTTGCATTGCACATCTTGTATTTAATTTGAACATTTATAATCAACTTGATCGAACTTGCTAATGTGAAAGTATCATTCATACACAATTAAACACAAGCATAATATGCCAGTATTCGTGACTCACTTACATCAAATAATTTCCTAAATGGGTAATTTACGTTTATCGAAACTTTTCAGTTTTTCAGCATTAGAACAGGGAAGGAGGTAGACATAGTGAGTAAACTGTTACTAATGAACAAACAACAAGAGAGAAATAAAGAAATGATGCTCCTGAACAGATGAAATGATAAAACATGATCAGATCATTGTAGATCAGAAGTTTTGCATGCGATTATATCATAGCGATAAGTTACATTATGCATTAGCATCAGCACCGTTTTAAAGAGATTGTTATCATGTTATATGTTGAATAACTTAAAACACACTCTTAATAAGTAAAATTAACAAGTTGAAACACGAATGAAGCAAAATGAATAAGAAGAACTAGAATGGAAACATTAGATAGATAAGAAGACGACGACAAGGCCATATATCAGAACGGAATACTACTGAAACTGCTCTGGTTTGATGATCGTTGCGATTCACACATGCATCTATTACATCGTATCATGAGATAAGCATCTAGAAGAGGATGTCGCTGACGTAGTTGTATGAGGCGAGTGAGTGAACGCAACCAATATATTCTACGTCTTGAGAAAAACATCCATAAGTTACTAGATTGGTACAGCTAGATCGTAATCAACAACCGACTCAAAATAATACTCATACTAAGAAAGTCATTTATTTTGTCATCAATTGATGAACGTCGATTAGTTGTTTGTTGATCATTCAACCTTCAAATTTATTAATTTAATAATGCTCATCATTAGTTAGGGCCATCAACAAAACAAGACAGTCGACATGGAAAAGTTGTCGATGAGTACTAGTTTACATAATAAGCATGCATAGAACATCTTTTTATACTGTTTAACACATCATATATCCAGTACACTTTTAAAAATTCATTTCATAATCGCCAAGACGAAGAACTTGTCGAATGAGGAGGTCGCAGACGATGCGACCATGTTGAGAAGGACGCAGACAATTTTTTTCAGTAAAACTTGATCTTGTTTCTGTAGCAATTTTTAAAATACGCTTTGAAAGAGAGAAGGGACGACAATAAACCATATCGTTGAAATATGATGGTTAAAGAAACCTCTCACAACAACAATAACAAATCACTGATAAATGCTAACGTTAATCAGAAGTGGATAAGTAGATAGGTTTATTATTCATCGGTTGTGTTGCGGAAACGGAATTCGTCATAAGTCAATCGTATAGATCTTAAGATATGCAGAACAGAAATATATTCGTATCTATTCTTGTTTGTTATATGGAGGCGACTAGCGAGAAGGGTTTAAACTATGATTATGATAATCATAGTTTCAATATAAACTGCTTCATCGATCCCTTTCCGAATTTAGCGTTCTGCATACGAAATCGATACGAGCAAAAATTTGCGATAGGTAAAAAACGAAAAAGATGGTGATGATAATATTGGTAGTGTCTGTCGTCATTCGAAAATAGGAATAAACTTATTCGTTACAACAGTTGAGGAAGAGTGTTATAAAACAGTGATTTGTGCTGAATTTTTTTGGAAATCTTGCTCGTCATCCAATACGTTAACTGAATTTTCGTGTTTCCTTTTTCGACTCAATTAAAATGCAGAGAATGAAGGAACAAATGCAAAAAAACTGAACAGGAAACTCAATGGGGGTTATGCTGGCACATGAAGTAGATGTTACTAAGAAGTGTTCATTCGTTTCATTTCCAGTATACTTAACTTCAAAAAATGCCGTCTTGATCAACAGTAATATGCATACAGATGAGGTAAACACGACTTTTTGTTTCAACGAAACTCATGGATGAAAGTATTTCACTGGAATTAATGGACTGCATGTCGAATAACTGCGTACCATAGTCTTATATTGAATCGGTGCTTCCTCAGTGTGAAGTCAAAATGAAGTAATTCATAAGGAGATACATGGAGTGGTTAATGAATTACTGCTATTGTAGTTAAAGGCGAGTTGATTTCATTTCGAATGTTTTTTGGGAAGTAAGAAGACATCAATCGATCATTATCAGCCATTTATAAAAGAAATATTCGAGATTGATGGATGGATGGATGAATGGATGGATGAACTGTGAATGAAAAGATGATGGCATGTGAATGGAAAATTGGTTGGTATGTAGTCAAGAGGTCGGCTGTAAACGATAAATATGCATCGAAAAGAGGTGAGTACTGGTAAATGTCGTCTTCTTCTCGAGTGTAAATTGCAACAACATATATTAAGGATGCATGATGACAACAATGCGTTCTTTTGAGGAATGATCTTCTCATCTGTTATAACAACAGTCAACAGTGCTATTTTCATGTGCACATGCGACCGGCCCGCGGTCAAATGCCTGCCTACGATGCCAAATATGGTGATGATCACGATGACGTGCCCTTCAACCTTCAACAAATACCCCGTCTTATCATCTTGGAACGGAGCGGAGCGTAGCAACCTGACGCAATTCCTTTATTGTCCTTCCTACGCCTCATAGGCGGATTGATTCGTTTATTGAATTTCTCTGTCTCCTCCTCAAACTATATCATTAGACTTGTTTGAAATGTCGGTCGAAAAGATCTAAAGTTCTATGAAACAACTTTATAAATACCAGCAAAGTATACAATCGCGATGAAAAGAATTGACAAATAATGAATGAAAATTAGTAAATAACATAGATGATACGAAAGATCATTAAATCGACTTGAAAAGACTACAGAATTTCACATTTGCTTCTTCGACGTTCTTATGACATCAACTGCAAAAAATACACACATCTGAGCACATTTAAGAACGATCAAAAATTTTAAACTTCGATGACTAATTCGTTTTCTGTTTCTTTATCATTGAACCAGTTCGAATAAATACGCTTCTGCTCACATTCAATTTTTTTCTGATCATTTTCTCACATAAATTTTAAATGTCAGTCCCCTGATCGCTGACATCAAATCAGTATTCAGGGGCCGTGATGAGACATCTGAAGTAATAATAGCTTAGCTACAGTAAGATAACGATGAGTAGAGCTCGCTCGCTTTGTGTAACCATCTAATGTGTGCCATTCATCTTGCTTTCTGGTATTCTTGCTTTCCTTCATTTATTTTCTCGATGTCTAATTCTCGACTTTGACTATCGTCTTTCTCTCTAATCACATCTAACTATACGATAAACTTTTCTTCTGAAATGATGTACTTTCATGTTCTGATAATCAGATGTGCGTTTTGACAGCTACCTAAAATCAAATATTAAGTTCCGATATCATCTAAACGAATACCGTCTCCCGTTCCTGATATTTTGTCTGAGAAATACCTATGTTTCCGTCAAATAAATTCAAAACTAACAAAAACCAACGTGCATTATATCAATTCAACAATCAGTTATGATCCATCGCATCCACCCCTCCTTAAAAATTAAGTTAAAATGGAAACTATGATTAAAGAAAGTGCTTTTCATTGTATAATCGTTAGGCAGCGAAATGTTTTAAAGATCGTCATCTAAACGTATTGAACAATTACCGTCACCATGGGTTCCAAGTTTATCATCACTTACCGCAGTAATGAAGTGATTTGCTCTGAACCCAGAGAGAATGTTCCCAGGCAGGGCTTTTCGGCTGAAGACAAAACGAAGTTGCTGATCAACAAACCCAACTTTAACACATATGAATTCTAGGTAAAATATTTACAAACATGCATATTTCAGGGTTCATTATGTATCCTGTTGGGGAAACTTCGCTGTCCTCTTTATTTTCATCATCAACTTTTTGAGCGTTCACAACTATCAGGAAACTAAATTACTTAATCAGACTTTCGTTTTTGTTGCCTTTCTTGTGGTATCTGATATGATTACTTTAGAATTACAAATAGTATTAATGCAATTAATACACTACCTGCTTTCCCAGATCCAATTTACATTAACCGATTTTATGAAGCAGCACAATTTCAACTATAAGTCAGCGAAAAGCATCCAGCACTCATAAACTTAAACAAGTAAGAGCAAGAAGAGCCAATCGGTTTCAGTTTTGGAGGAAGAGGATTAACCAATCAATGAAAAGGTAGCACTTGGCAAATGTTACGAAAATTTGTTAAATAACTTTTGTTGAAAGTGAGCATCTTCTTATTGACGACAGATATGTATAAATGAACGCTAACTGTAGACTGAAAATGTTATCGTCGTCAGTGCCATATAAGAAATAATGAAAAAAGTGATAATAATAATGCGAAATGACGAATGCAAATAACATGGAACACCGCTGCAATGAAAGTTAGTTGGTTAAAAGATGTTGATGGTTGATAGAATAATCAATAAGATGCCAAAAAATGTTTTGTTATATAAATATATATGTCAAGAAATATCGGAATTACGCTGATGACTTATTTAGTTCTGAATACTGTTGGAATGAAATCATTGAATCCAATTTAGGTTGAGGTGATCGTAAGTGACGAGTTCAGTTAACTAAACACATTCAGTTATCCTAGTCCATACCTGCGTACCTAATTCAATTTGCTATGTTTTCTAAGTCACTCATTGAATGCTGTGTTAAACTGATGACAAAATTAGTTAGGGAAACGGAACTGAGCATACCCAACAAAGTGCTAGTTGCACTGTAATCGTTTCAATTTTGATTTTGACGTCCTTCTCAATGACAACTACATTCCCACTTTAGAAGTAATATGTTGGCTGCCTCCAGTCTTACTTCAACAACAATTAAAACCGGTGATACATGCTCAACG